GGGGGGGGGGGGGGGAAAGAAGTTTACTTTTAAAACATCTCGCCGTGCGTCACTCAGCTCGATGCGTAAAGGTCTTTCCAAACGCTCCCCATTCACAAACTCTCCGAGAAGAAGTTATCAGCCTGACTCCTCAACTTCCCAAGGTGAAAACGTTCAGCTGTTCGGGTGTAACCTCCTTCCAGAGAACATCCCTCCGCTGCCAGAAATAAAAAAAAAAAAGTGAGAGTTGCAGAGGAGTTGTTATCAGGAGGTGGTGGTGGGGGGGAGAAAAAAAAAGTTGAGAGCGCAGAGGCACAACACAGACTGGTACGCCTGGAGGTTGTGAGAGTGAGAGAGGCAGACAGATTTGTAGGTTTCCCCCCAAAATCCTCTCTCTCTCTCTCTCTCTCCCTCCCTCTCTCTCTCTCTAAGTTGATGTCACCAGAAAAGAGAGTGAGAGAGCTCCACAAACTTTCACGCGTCCCTTACCTTCCCCGCAGAAACACTGTCTGCTGTTTAATCTCGGACACTTTCCCACACTGGGGAGAAGACAACTCCAGACCCCCAGTCCGTGGCAGCACTGACATATTACAGTGCATATTTCTGTTAATTTCCCAGCAACCCTTCCTCTTTTGTGATGGCCCATATATCATCTTAATTGTTTACTTTGTGATCATATAATGGTTTTTGAGTCATGTCTTTTATGAACCATCTCTCCGAGTAGTACAATGCATCATCGCTGGGGAGCCTTTGTGTGCAAACTTCACTGATTGGTGTTTTAACAGCAGCGGGCACAAACATGCTGTTTTGATAGATCAGAGTTAGACAAAAATGTAAAGAAACTTAATCTTCTATTGTGTTTGCGAATGCCAGGATGTACACAATGACTGGAAACAACATCAAAACGTGGAGGAAGACTTGTTTTGGGTTACATTTCCATTGATAATGCCAACACTTGATTGACAAGATTACATGACTCTCCATAAATCTGGAAACTGAGGTAATCTCCCAGATTATGTTGGTAATAAGCACGGTTAAAGTTCCTGCTCATCCTGTGATTCATACTGATTTACACACACGTCTTCCCATTGGGACGCAGAGTGCGGCAGTGAAGCCAAAAGTCTGTTTCAGTGTGCTGCCCTCCTGCAAGTTGCAGTAGTGATGCTGCCCTCTATTGGTAGAAGGGGAAACTTCCATAAACTCAGAGTGGAGGTTCATCAATTTGCAGTTAGAGTAATAAATAATTATGCTTCTCATTAAATCGGTGTCCTCTAAATTAATTCAATTCATTTGAGGCATTTTGCTGCAAATGTCAAAACATTTCAAAAGCTTTTTCTTCAGCAGGCTCTCGGTCTATAATGAACAGTGGAAAGTTCATAAATATTGTAATGCCTGGAACCCAAACTGAGTAATTCAGCGTCTCATTCTGGGTCTCAAGCTAATTAAAACATACGTTTTCCTGTCAGTTGGAAACCCACCAGAGACAATGGCCAGTTTAATATTTGAACATTCGGAAGAAGATACTTAAATGTATTTTAATTTTAAATAAATTCTCCAAACCTTTTAGAAAAAACATCCTTTGTCTAATTTCATATACGTTTTAACGGCGTGTCTATGTGTTTTCATGCAAAGGGGGTTTTCTGAGCATTCACGCTCGATAAGCTTGACTCATGGTCCGTCAGTTAAGAATGTCCATACCTGAGAGTTGCCAGTCCTCTGGTGTTAGCCGGGTTTGCTCAGTGCTTTGTACACATCGATGGTAGTTTCTGAGGAGGGGAAAAACATCACTTATCAGTTATGACAGCAGCAGGTTTGCTGTCTATTTTTCCAGTTAAATTTAAGACCATCTGAGCTCTACTCGAGAGACTGAACCTTCTGCAATCAGTTTTCCAATTTTACGTTCGCAAACACATAAAAGTAGGGGTTCGTTTCTTGTTAAGACATTTACACAAGGTGAGCAGTGTCTAATTTAGCTGTGTGTAAATGTCAGCATGTATGTATCGCATGTATTTAAACAGCTTTAGAGAAATGTGGGAGCCCGTTCTTCTTTCTATTTTCTTTGAAAATGAAGCCGCTTTGAAATGTTCTTCAGATCGATGGCTGCAGCAGGGCAAGCAGCGCAGCTTCCTCACAGCAACTAACCCCAGCTCCTCCTGGGGGGGATCCCCAGGTGTCCGCTGGCACATGGGGAAATTAAATCCCTCTACAGCTTCCTGGGTCTGCCCCGAGGTTTCCTCCCTGCTGGCAATGCCCAAGGAGGCACAGGAGGGAGCAGCCTGTCAAGGAGAGTAAGCCTGGCCTCTCTCTGGAGAAAACCCATTTCAGCCGCCTACACTTGGATCTCGTTGTTATCACCATCAAGAGCTTACATGCAAGTGTGTAACAGTGAAACAGTAGCCAGACAAACACATCCCCGAGTGAAAGCATGGAACAGCCAGTATTAAGTGGCTATGACAATGTACAGTACATTCAATATCTGTTGGTGGAAAAAGTACCGTTTTATTGAAATATAGCAATAATTTGAACCAATACTTATTTTCTGAAGAAAAACATATATATACATATATATATATATAATATAATATAATATATATATAAATAAAAGATGCGTTTCCCTGCTCCATGTGACTGTGACAGAAAGCTACATACATAGACACACACACACACACTATTTACCATTAAGGGAAATGGGTATGAAAAACCAAAGGATATCAAAAAAAGATGTTAAACAGGCACAGAAAAAACCTGCTAACGACAGATTTACACCGTAAAATTAATTTTACTGTTACTGCCTGCTCTCAGGTCCATTTAAATATCACTACAACATTAAACACGATGTCCCAGTAACCCGTTTTGTATAAAGTTGCATGCTTTTGTTGGAGCCCCAAGGCTCGCTAAGCTAACGTTAAACATCCTCAGCATTATAGTGCATTAACATTTATCTCTTAGCTTCATGAGGTGTTAACTAAAGTAGTTGTGTTTAACATTATAGTTGTGTTTTGTGATGTGGAACAAGTAGCTTTCCTTTTCTTATCGTTAGCTACAAATATTATTTTTATAAACATTTCTTCTTTCTCAGTGAGACCGGCCATTACCATCTGGCATTAACTAGACGTTAGCTAACTGATGTAGGCTAGCTATCCTGTAAAAAGCTAACGAGGCTGGCTTTGCTTTAAAAATGTAATTCTTCTCGAAGCAGACTACATTTATATATTCATTTGTGTTACAGGCAAAGCAATACCTTATTCCTGTGATTTAAGTTTAGTTTTCAAATGTAAAAATGAAATATGTTCTTACCCGTCTACTGCGCCGGGAGTGGCAGGCCTTCCTCTCTCTCTCTCTTACACCTATGGCAACATGTTTGTTAATAAATATCACATGTGTTCATGCCCCTGCATACTACTTATCTATGGTTCTGTTAAAGAAAAGAGCCGCTAACAACAATGTCACATTATGTATAGTAAAGCAACATTGGGTTCAGAGGTGATGACCCTCTAAACCAACCAATCAACATGCAGCTCCAGGTTAAGAGAGCACATCTAAATCCATACAGAAAAAAGAATGGTTTTGCAGAAACATCTGTTGTTGCTTTGTCCCCATGTGTTGCATATCCACTAAATGACACATACATTGTATATAAGATGTAAAGGCAGAGAGGGAAGGAAACAGTAAAACAAAACAAAGGAAGATACTGTAAGACAGTGGCACACACATAAGTCAGACTGATCAGATTTCCAGTACTTTAACAATATGGTAACAGTTTTGTTCTCTTGTCCTTTACTGTTCCTCTTCTTGGTGGTAGTGGTTTATTTAGCTCCTTTCATACAACCTGTTCCAGGCGGGAATGTTACGCCGTTATCCCACCTTGCCAGTCTGTATGTATGAGGGTCCATTGTCGTGCCGCCGTTGGCGATCTATAATCGCACACTGTGGCCGCATTTTGCTGGCATTGGTATAAAGATTATAAAGAGTCTTTATGGCAGTATTGCATGAACATACACACCAAAGTCAGACTGTTAGCAGACGAGCTGACAACCTATCAGACATTAATTATTTCCTTTTCCTATCTTAGGGCGAAGTGAAGTCGCTGTTGTCAATCCGACAGCCATAGAGTAAAAAAGGATGTGGGTGCGTGACATAAACCGTCTGAGACAATAATATGGCGAATATTATTGCCTTGTCCAAAAGCTACTGTTAGATGGAGTCCAGTTCCAGGGCTATTTTAGACTAACCAAGGACCAATATGATCTACTCCTCCAGAAGGTTGGCATCACCATTTGCAGAGCACAAACAATGTTTAGGGAGACAATCAGCCCTGCAAACAGCCTGTCTATGGGGCTCGCAACACTAAACACACCTGCAGGATTAATTTGGATCGACCTTATTTCTGTACAGTAAGTTAAAATTGCTGTTGAATAAAAATACATGTTGCTGTAACATGTCCCACCAGTCAATATACACCTTTTGGGGGAAAAAAAGCTCATTTTATTACATTTATTAAATAACTACTGGCTTCAGGAATTCATTTTAACAGAGCAAGGTTGGGATGAATATTGAATATTTATTTATTCATATTTATTCAATATTTATCCACACTGACAACATTTTGCATTGTTTTATTATCCAACCTTTGTCCATCATGACCAACAGCAAAATTTTGCATTCATTGAGTTGATCCAAACCCAGGAGGTGAGAATTCATCAGCTGATTAAAAATAGATGATAAGTGAGGAAACTTATCCTTATAATATAATCACAGTAACATTTGTCTCACTTCATACGTTCCTTGCAACAGGGGACTCCTACAGAACAATAGCGTTCGGGCTATAGGGTGGGGTACTGCTCATTGGCACAGACAGACAAGGACGTGTGTGAGGAAATATAAAGCGACTACATGCCTGTGTTTAAG